CAGCCGCTGAGAAACCCCGTGTTAAACATGCACGTTCAGACGACCGTGCACGCTGCATTAAACCCGTTTCCACGCGGGAACAGCTCCCCCCCCCCCCCCGCCTACCGCCCGCCCCGCACGCTAGGCAAAGCCGCCTTCGGCCGCGGTGACGTAGCCGGGAAAGCGCGTGCTTCGGCCACGCCCCCCTTTTTTTCCCCCCCGCCGGGGGGGGGCGGGGCGCCCCCCCCGGGCCCGCGCAGAGCGGCGGGTGAAGCCGCGCCCTCCCGCCTTCCCGCCGGCCAATCAGGCACGGCTGTTCTGGCCCCTCCCGCCGCTCGCCCGAAAGGAGGTCGGGGCGACACGTGTCCGGCAAGCCCTCCGTTCACACGTGCGGCCGGGCTGTGGGGAGGGGTCCGAGGCTGTCCGGAGCCATGGAGCGCTTCCTGACAGGCTGCAGGGCCGCTCTTCAGGTACCCCCCCCGCCTCCCTCCGGGAGGACTACCAGCCCCATCGTCCGCTCCCCGGGGACTCTGCTCGCTCCCATCATCCCCAGCCGCTGCTGGGCTCCTCTGCCAGCCTGACTCCCCATCAACCCCCACTCACTGCTTGGACATGGGCAGGATCCGATTCCCATCATCCCCACCCACCGCTCCCATCCTCCCCAGCCACTCCTGGCAGCTCCACTTGGTTTACAAAATGATTCTGAGTCCCATCATCTTGCCCTCCCCTGCAGCATGGGCAGGATCCGGCTCCCATCATCCCCCCACCCTCCTCTCCTGCGACTCCTGACTCCCATCATTTATTTCGCTTTAGTTTATTTCCTGATCCAACGTTACCTAACTCCCATCATCCCCGCCCACCACCCTTCCATGGGCAGGACCTGGCTCCCATCATCCCCGCCCACTGCTAAGGAGGTGGAGACTGCCAGCAATATGAATGTCCCCTCCCTGCCAGGCTTTGGGGGGGGGGGGGGGAGGGAGAAGGGGGGGGCCCTGGGGCGGGATCCGAACCCGGCCGGGGGGGGGGCGGGCTTTCCCCGGCCCGCCCGGGGGGGGGGGGGGAATTGACCCGCTTCCCCAGCCTTCTTTTGACCCCCGTCTGCGGGTGATTCACCGTCTTGTGTTCCCTGGAGCTGGGTGACTCAGCTGCTTGTGCCCGTCGTCGGCTTGGCATCCTCCCTGGCACAGAGGCCACGGGGGGGGGGGGGGGG